TGGGATTGCCCAGACCCAGGTGCAGAAACAGAGTTAATGCTTTTAAATGGGAAGTAGTAGAGGAGAACAAAATGACGACAGTTAGAGATTTGGGAGTTCACACAGGGAAGAAAAGCAACGCAGACAGGCTTGACATAGATCTGTGCTGATGTAGTGGTAAGAACTAGGGGGAAGTAACTGTGAATTGAATGTTCAGAGAAGTAACGGTAACAACTCATGAATTCTGTACTACTTACTCAAGTTGCTATAGCGTTCTGGAGTTTGTCCTTGAACTACTTCGAAGTGAGCAATCTGGGTGGTACGTGCAACACAGTTTGGGAGGACAAAGTGAAGTTCTATATGAATAAAGATTAAATTTCCATTCCTTGATGTCAGCAGCCTACCGAGGGTATAACGTGGTGTAAGAATGAAAACCTCAGTTCTGCTCCACCCTGAAATCAGCTGTGTATCTCCGGGTGGGGCAGGAGGGTCTGAGCTGGTAGGTAGAGGTCTGTTTTAAAAGAGGTATTATACCAGTCCTTCTCAGCTGGATTCAGGGTAGGGTAGTACACTGCTGTAAAGAACTGGTTATGTATGAAGCGTGATCGTTTCTCTGTATTGGGTGCTCACGGAACACTGAAAGCACTGTTATTTTCAATCATGGTAATGCATGTTGTAAAATCTTTTTTGAAGTTTACATGCTGGCTCAGGAAATGAAAAAGAGCAGTTAAAAGAACTTCTTGCTCTCCTGAAAGAAGATTTAACTCCAGCTGAAAAAATACACGTAAGGAAGAGTATTGAGCAATACAGACTGGGCACCAATAAAACTACACTGCAACAGGTATGGCCCAAGTGTCGGGATGGGAATGTGGGGAGTTGCTACACCTTCTCCACAGCAAATGGGAACTGGGAATCCCCTCTCACACCTGCCAAGCTCCTAAAGTTCTGAAAAACAAAATGAGTGTTAGGACTAGGACAGGTTTGATTCCACAGGTACAGCTTAGTGTCGTACCTGTGTGTGACTACTCTGAGCTGAACTGGCAGTTCCCATTTGGCGATGGTATATTATGAGACAGAAACCCTTTCTGAACTCTGTTGCAATCTGATCTGATATTTCTGATCTAATATACAAGGTGAGGAAAGGACCATTTCTGAGCACAGCTAGTCTGCACCACCACCCCAAAACTAAACTTTATCTAGTCACAAAGGTAAAAAGATAAGGGCTAGGCTCGATCTGTCCTAGACTTGAGTATCAACTACCAAGAAGATTTCAAAGCTATTCTAAGTAACTTTTCGTCAAAGTATTACCTTTCAAGATTACTATTTCCTGTAGAAAAATCTTGTCTTTCCAGTTACTTGCTTTTTCTTCTCAGCCCTACACTCATAAAGTGCCAGCCTGTTGTAGAGCAACTGTAACAAAGAGTTCTCAGCAATTTGTGTCTTGTGCTTATTCCTCGTGGTCAGTTGCCCCTGGGGCTCAGGTGGTTTTGGGGGATTGTGTAACCTAAACTCTCTCTGAACCAGACCACATCTGGTCTTAAAATACAGGAATCTGTGAGTGAGTCTAACGCATGAACACCCCAAGCGTAAGAAACGGTAACTTTGGATCCATCTCCATGCCTACGTAGTGCCTTTTCCTGGAAGTTAGCGTGTAATTGTTTGAGACCCAGCGAGTAGGACACAGCATGCAGCAGAAAAAAGTAATTTAGGTGTGTTTTACTGCCGGAGCTCTAGTTCTGTACTGCACAGAGATTAACGGTTAAGTGATCTTAACGATTTGCCTACCTGTTTTCTCCTCCCTAACGACCAAGGTGAAAGTGGTTGGAGCGACCTGCGCCGCCTGCCCGTTCCCTTGTCTGAATGCTCTGAAGTTTCCCGTAGTGATGCTGGACGAGTGCAGTCAGATGACTGAGCCTGCTGCTCTCCTGCCAATCGCAAGGTGCAGCCTTCCTTTCGTGCTTCAGCCGGGAAATAACGTGGCCAGCACTGACGTGGCCTCAGAGAGCTGCCAACCGTGCGCGCCTGCTGAAGAACGTGAACTCTGGGGCCTCGCCTCTGAAAGCAGGAAGAGCAGTTTTAAGTTGAGGTCTGCTCTGAGGTGCCTTCCTTGAGTTACCGTGCTATTTTAACTGTGGAAGGAGGGTGGTGGAGAAGGGAGCCTGATGGAAAGTAATCTGCGAGATAGATATATATGAACACAGCACATGCTTTCGTTGTGAATAGCTTGACATCCTTTTCAGAACTTTTTTTCTCATTTTTGAACATCCTTATTTAGGTTTCAGTGTGAAAAGCTAGTCCTTGTGGGAGACCCTAAGCAATTACCACCAACCATTCAAGGTTCTGAGAGCATTCATGAACACGGATTGGAGCAGACCCTCTTTGACCGGCTTTGCTTAATGGTACGCCCCGCTAACTACATCTTTAGAGGAGAGGGAGGGTGGAATTGCGGGGCCGCTGAAGCCACGAAAGGAGTTCTGGTCTAGAAGTCAGAGGATCGGGGTTTCAGCCTGGCTTTTAGTTAAGCAGATCCCATTCTAGTGCGTTTCGCCTTCGCAGTGCACGGGAAGTTGTAGGCATCGCATGTAAAACAAGAATGGGTTGAAAATTGGTGACAAGTTCTGCCCTCCGGTCTCTTTGTGCAGTTTTCGGTCCAGCCAGAAGAATCAGGGGCTGCAGTATTTGCTCTAATTTATGTTGAAGTGAACGCATGAAGGCTAAGTCAGCTTACTGCAGGAATTATTTCCACTTATTTCTCGTCAGCGTTGCAAAATATCCAACCATTCTTTTTTCCTAGTCACACTTTCTACATCATCATTCCTTAGGGACATCAGAGAGTACTTCTTCGGACACAGTACAGATGTCACCCTGCTATTAGCGCCATAGCCAACAAGCTGTTCTACGAAGGAAATCTGATAGATGGCGTTTCCGAGAGCGACAGGAGTCCTTTATTGGATTGGCTTCCAACACTCTGTTTTTATAGTGTTAATGGGGTAGAGCAAGTAAGTTTTTAAACATTTATTACACAAGAAGTCAATACTGTAGTTTTTCCTCCATTCCATTTCAGTTTGCCTTCTGCTGTTCGTGAGGGCTAACCTGGACATCTGCTTCCCTGTTTCCAGATTGAAAGGGACAACAGCTTTTATAACATGGCAGAAGTTCATTTTACAGTCAAGCTCATCCACTCCCTGATGGCGAGTGGAATAGAAGGATCTGCAGTTGGTGTGATTACGCTGTATAAATCACAGATGTGTAAGGTTTGTATAATGTATCCTCAATGAAACCTCTTGAATGGATTGCTTTATTTGAAACGTGGGCTCCGTTTGGAGTGGGGAGAGTCAACTCGAAGTGAGCAACAAATGCGGGATAGGTAGAGTTTACCCTTACTAAAAAAAAATAAGTAACTATATTTTTTTCTCTCTAAAATTAGTGAAAATCTTTGAATTCAAACATATAATTAAAAAACCAACTTTCCCTTTGTTTTCCTTCTACGTGCACACTCGGGAAATTGGCAAACTAGTACGTAATTTCCCTAAATGAATTGGGGGCCGTTCCAGACTGGTACATGTGACAAGGACAGGTAACGTCTTGCCTAGCCAGGCTGGAGTTGTACCTCGCCCAGTCACCCGAGGCACGCCATGGGCTGCCATGACGAGTAAGGGGAAGTGCTGGGTGCCACACGGAACGCGCTAGCGACTTGTCCAATGCACGGTTGTGGGGTAGTATTTTCCTGCGGCTAGCTGAGGTCTTACTGCCGTTGCCTTCCTACCTGGCATCTCGTGTAGAGTTGGGCTTGTTGAGCGCGTTTGCTCCGGGCAAGAGATGGACTGTGCGTAGCGTAACTCATCGCCGCCCGTCTTCATTCGGCTGCAGATTCAAGATTTGCTCAGTGGCGTCCGCTCCGAGGCTCTGGAAACTAAAGCCGTCCAGGTGTCCACCGTAGACGCCTTCCAAGGTGCCGAGAAGGAGATCGTCATTTTGTCGTGCGTAAGGTCGAGACACGTGGGCTTCATAGACTCGGAGCAGAGAATGAACGTTGCCCTGACGAGAGCCAAGAGGCATTTGTTGATTGTTGGAAACTTGGCCTGTTTAAGTAAGAACAGACTCTGGGGAAGAGTAATTCATGACTGCAAAGGTAATGCTGTCTTTTCCTATATTTTTGAAACCACCCAGCTCATCTTTTTTTAATTAAACTGTGCATAGTACGCTCCATACCTTGCGGTGTACATAACCATGTATGAAGTATATGTGTACTGTGCAAACCAGTGTACTTACTCCATAGAAATTAGCGTGTCGCAGGGAAAGGCATTTGCAGGCGTGCAAGTCGCACGCCTGCAGTTTCATCCGCCAACTGCTGCTACACTTGAAGGGCGCTTGTTACCCACTCACAGGGGCTGCTTTTTCTGCTTTGGGCGCCACGGGACAGCTATGCCGAGAGCGTGCCGGGAAGGAGGGGCAAAACCCGCTACTGTGTTCCTCCGCCTCTCCCAGTTGGCTTTTCCGTAGCAGACCCTGGCAGGAACCAGTCAGGAGTTCTGCCGTATGGCAGTAGGCCCGACCGGACGGCGGCTGCATGAAGGGAAGGACGCTGCGTGGCGTCTTTCTGCTACTGGGGGCTCCTTGGTTTTGGAAGATAAATTTTGAGCTGCGAAGCGGGGGAAAAAGGGTGCTATTGGAGGCCAGCTAACTCTCCCAAGTAATTCCCAGTTGCTTACAGGCTGCTGTCTTGCGAATACACGCGCTTGTTTTATTGCACCACGGAGGGAGATCCAGTTCTTGAAAATCAGTTTCTTACAGTTTCAGCGTGTTTGCCGTGATATTGACTGCGATTCAGTATTTAGGTATTTGAACTGCTTAAAAAAAAACAAGCCAAAAAACCTTACGGTGCCCATGTCCACCCCTCGCCGCTTCGCCAGGTGTTTAAAATGTCTCAACAGCCCCTTAGTCCCATGTATCCTTCCTCTCCGCGGTGTGCAGAGTCTCTCCCCTCGCGGGCACGTGAATTAGTCCCCTTGGAAATGGGACGGTTGGTATCCTCGAGGATTAGTTATGTTTCATCGTGAGCCCTTCCGTGGTGATGTGGAGAGGCTCCCTGGCCGAGGGGCGCATCCCCCTACGCAGGGGGTGGGACTTTGCCTCCGCAGGGATACGGGGGGAGTGCTCGGTCTCCGGAGCAACAGAGACTGCGAGAATAGCCACCAAAGGAGTAATTCTTTCATTTACCTACTTGGTTGACATGAAAGGCAGCATCTTGTTAGTGGCTGAACCCTGCAGAAGAACAGTTTTCCAAGTAGGAATATGGTAGCTGTCCCATAGCCTGGGGAAATGGATGCTGCATCGTGATGCATCACTATCATCATAATGGGTTTAAATTGAAAATGGGGAGGTTTAGATTGGATATCAGGAAGAAGTTCTCCCCAGAGAGGGTGGTGAGGCACTGGCACAGGTTGCCCAGAGAAGCTGTGGATGCCCCATCCCTGGAAGTGTTCAAGGCCAGGCTGGATGAGGCTTTGAGCAACCTGGTCTAGTGGAACGTGTCCCTGCCCATGGCAGGGGGGTTGGAACTGGATGGTCTTTAAGGTCCCGTCCAACCCAAACCATTCCATGATTCTGTGATGGATGCTGTACAGGGAGATGTAATTATCCTGTTTATTGATGTTTTTAGGATGGGAAAATGGATTGCAACACGTAAGCCAGTGTGAGCCGCAGCTGAATGGCATTCTGAAGCGTTACTTGGAGAAACGCAAGGAAGAGGAACAGAGTAAGAAAAAGGGAAAATAAAACACGCGCCTGTTTTACCAAGAAAAGGTGAATTGCGTGTCTGTAAACATTATCAGAAGGATTGCGCATCTAGTATTTAGGTTTAGTGTGGGAAGTCTTTGTATCTCGGTGCGGTGGTGTGTTTGACCCCTTGTTTGTATGACTAAAAACAAATAAAGTAGCTCTGTCAGCTCGGTAACTGCCACCCCTTTATGGTCATGGAGTAGCAAACGGGATTGTTAGGGTTTCCTTGTTCTTTGATTATTAGGGTTTCCTTGTTCTTTGATTATTAGGGTTTCGTGGTTCTTTGATTATTAAGGTTTCGTGGTTCTTCGATTATTAGGGTTTCGTTCTTCAATTATTAGGGTTTCGTGGTTCTTCAGACTAGACACATACGTAATGTCGTACCCTACAACAATTCTGTCACCTTGCCTGTTGCCCAAGCGGTGGCAGCTAGGAAGGAACATGGCTAAAAACTGATGAAAAGGATACAAAACCCCATAATTTCCTCAAAGGAAAGTTAGGTGGCTTTGGCTACTCAATCTGTGGATGTCCATAACAAAATGAGGATGGGGTGACCTGCACCTAGAATGACCACAACCAAAAGTCACTGTCTTCATGGTGGCCGACGTTAGCCCATAGTTCTTCCCGGAGAGGGTGGTGAGGCACTGGCACAGGTTGCTCAGAGAAGCTGTGGATGCCCCATCCCTGGAAGTGTCCAAGGCCAGGCTGGACGAGGCTCGGAGCACGCTGGTCTGGCGGCGGGTGTCCCCGCGGCCGGGTGAAGCTCGTGGCGAGTGTCGCCGTGCCGGGGACC